ACCATGTTCCTCAGCTCCTCTATTTTTTTATCTGTATCCTCTCTAGATTTATTAATCATGTCTTGCACTATGGGCAAAATCTTTGCTGTTATGTGAGAAATTATTTCTGATTTCATTTTTTCCAGATCCTCTTTCATTGCTAGTTCAGGGAGTCCAGGTGATTGAGTATCAGAGTGTTCCATCTCGTTTCCCTTTGGGGTTGCTGTAGGTGATCTGGAAGTCTGGTTCTGCTGGGGCTTGTTTACCTGTCTTCTCATTTTGACTGGGGCGGGGGGAGGCAGTCTTCCTGGCTCACCTCCTCTGTGCTGGGAGCCGCAGCATGCCCACCTGGAAGTGTCATCTAAGCTGGGAGCCGTGGCACGCCTACCTGGAATCCTACTCCTGGCTGGGAGCCGTGGCAAGCCGACCCGGAAGTCTCCTCTGGGCTGGGAGCCAGGGTGGCACGCCAACCCAGAGGCCTCCTCTATGCTGGGAGCTGCCCCAAATTAAGATCTTGACAGTTAAGATTGTGATCTTAATTTTATTTAATTAATTAATTAATTTGGTTTTTGAGACAAGGTCTCACTATTCAGTCTAGTTTGAACTCACTTTACAGCACAAGCTGGCCTCAAACTCAGAGTGATCCTCCTGCCTCAGCCTCCCAATTGCTAGGATCACAGATGTGTGCCACCACACCCCGAATTAGGCACCATGTTTGTAAACCCCTGTACAACCCCTCTGTAAGCCCCTAGGGAGGGATGCATTGAAGAAATTGAGGTCCTGAAAAGTTGAAGAGCTTGCCTGTGGTCATAGATAGAAGTGAATCGAGCTCATCTTCCTCTGGACTTACGAGTAGGTCCCCAGGGGCCTTCAGAAGGAAGGGATGGGGAGAAAGTGTCCTCATGCACTGCTGTCGGGGACAGTAGGAGTCAGGAGAGACGAGTGTTCACATGCATTTGGGATCTACTGGAGGAGGCTCTGGGTTTGGACTGAGAATACTGTAGGTCATCAATATAGCTCAGAGGGTGGGCGCAGGGGTATACACTTGTAATCCCAGCACTCTGGGAGGCTGAGGCAGGAGGATTGCAAATTCAACTTAGCAAATTAGTGAGACCCTGTCTCAAAATAAAAAGTAAAATAAGGGCTGGGAGTGTGGCTCAGTGCGAAGACTGTGGGAAGACTGTGGGCGCAGTGGTATGGGCTGTGGTTAATCAAAATGTTCAGAGAAAGGCAGGCCAGGGACTTAGTGGGGACATTGGGGTGGGACATGGATAGCTATAGTTTATCTCTCTGATTGTGGTGAGCTGGTTCAAATGGAACTCACAGTTTTGAAGAAAGATAACTTTTTTTTTTTTTGGTTCCGGGGATTGAACTGGGGACCTTGCGCTTGCGAGGCGAGGCAGGCAGCAGGCAGTGGAACCACTGAGCTAAATCCCCGGCCCAAGATAACTCTTAGGTGAGATAACTCTTGAAGTTAAGAAAGTTTGGTTTAAAAAAATAAATAGAGGGGCCGGGGATTTAGCTCAGTGGTGTGGTTTCGGCACCTGCCTCGAAAGCCAAGGTCCTGAGTTCAATCCCTGGTACCAAAAAAAAAAAAAAATAGAGGTGCCGGGCGTGGTGGCACACCCCTGTAATCCCAGCACTTGGGAGGCCGAGGCAGGAGGATCTGCACAGTTTCTGGGCTGCATAGTGAGTTCAAGGGAAGCCCAAGGCCCTGAGTTCAATCCCTGGTACAAAAAAAAAAAAAAATAGAGGTGCCGGGCGTGGTGGCACACCCCTGTAATCCCAGCACTTGGGAGGCCGAGGCAGGAGGATCTGCACAGTTTCTGGGCTGCATAGTGAGTTCAAGGCCAGCCCAAACAACAACAAAGAAAGTTGGCTATTAGTAACATCTGGGGTGGAACCCAGACCTAGTTCCTCGCACCTTCTCCAGTCCAATGGTCAACTATTTTTTCTCCTTTATTTTTGCAGTGGTGGGATCAAACCTAGGGTGTTACAAGTGCATCTTAGGCAAGGGTTCCATCACTGAGCTGAGGACCGTCAGCTTCTCTCTCTGCAGTGCCGAGAACTGAGCCCAAGGCCTTTGCACTGAGCTACATTCCCAGCCTTTTTGTTTTGATATAGGATCTTCCTAAGTTGCTAAGTTGCCCAGTCTGGGCTGGAATTTATGATCCTCCTGCCTCAGCCTTCTTTGATGCTAGGATTACAGGTGTGCACCATCACAGCTAGCCCCACTGCCAGCTTTTAAATTTTTTTTTTCCTGGAACCAGGGATCAAACTCAGGACCCTGTGCTTGCCAAGCAGGCAAGGGTGCCACTGAGCTACATCCCGGCCCATGCTTTTAAACTCTTAACTCTGCTCCTGTTACCTTGGGCATCAGAGACCATTTTCTGTAGATGAGATCATAAATATTTCAGCATCTGTGGGCCCAAGACCTCTCTTGTTGTGAGACTGCAGGTTGCCCCTGAGGCATGAAAGCAACCGGGACAGAGAAGTGGGTCCGGGTCAGTCACTCAGAGTGGAGACAGAGCCTGCACAGGTTCCCTGAGGACTTAGGGGACAGGCCAAGGGCCAGTGATGAGTCTGATCTCAATCATAACTTTTTTTTTTAAGTTTGAAACAGAGTTTGGCTATGTAATCCAGGCTGGCCTTGAACTCACCCTGTAGCCCAGGCTGGCCTCGAACTCACAGTGATCTGCCTGCCTCAGCCTCCTGAGTTCTGGGATCACAGCCATGTGCCACTGCACCTGGCTTGACTTTGTAGTTTTTTGCCTTTTCCAAAATGTAATATAGTGGGCCGAGGGATTTAGCCCAGTGGTTCCGCCGCCTGCCTCACAAGCGCAAGGTCCTGAGTTCCATTGGTACCAAAAATCAAAATGTAATATAGAGTCTGACAGCATGTAGCTTTTTTTTTTGCGGTACCAGGGATCGAACTCAGGACGTTGCAATACGAGGCAGGTGGGGTGCCACTGAGCTAAATCCCCGGCCCAAGTATGTAGCTTTTTTAGACTGGCTTCTTTCACTTACTAATAGGCATTTAGGGTTTCTCTATGTCTTCATGGCTTGACAGTTCATTTTTGGGGGCACTGAACAATGTTTCAAAGGTTGGCATTTTTATTCCATTTAACAGATGGAAGAAAGATACAGAAAGGAAAACTAACTTGTCCACCTACAGCTTGTACAGATCTGACTTCAGAGTCTGAACTCTTCATATGCTGCCTCTAAATCGTAGAGGGACTGGTATCCTATGGCTGGCGTACATGAAAGCCAGGGAAACGGAGCCAGCCACTTTGCTTGCACCAAGTATCCTTAGCTTTTTGTGTAGTGACAAACGTTGGGCAGGGTGGTAGCACACACTTGTCATCTCAGCACTTGGGAGGCTGAGGCAGGAGGATTGCTGCAAATTTGAGGCCACCCTGGGCTACATAGTGACTTCAAAGCCAACCTGAACTACACAGCTGCACTACCTGTCCTCTTGTTGTGGCTCATGCTTAGTTTTATTTTATCATACAGGTAATATTCCTCTCTTAACATTTCCTACCACCCTGTCTCCAAAATACAACAACCACAACAAAAGAAAGTCTACAGTATTCTATTTTGTTTCAAGTTTCAAATAGGGCTGGGGATTTAGCTCGGTGGTTCTCCTGCCTGCCTCGAAAGTGCAAGGACCTGAGTTCGATCTCCAGTACCCCAAAAAAAAGTTTCAAGTACTTAGTTGAAATAGTAAACCACTGTGCTTTTTGAGGAAATGTTTCTTTTCCCTGACGCTGAATTTCACTGGGTGACAGGTTACTTCTGGGGGTTGCCACCTGGCCACTGCTTTGCCAATGAAGTACATCCTGGTCACTGGTGGGGTCATCTCTGGCATCGGCAAAGGGATCATCGCCAGCAGCATCGGGACCATCCTCAAGTCATGCGGGCTCCGGGTTACAGCTATCAAGATCGACCCCTATATTAACATCGATGCGGGGACCTTCTCGCCCTATGAGCACGGTAGGAAAGGTCCCCTTTCCCTTGTTTGGGGCCCTCCCTTTGGGCTAGAATCCCCGAAGCACACTTGCAGCTAATCCTGCAGGGACGTGTGAATGTCCTTGTCGTCGCTGGTGCGTCTTTTGGTGGCTGATGACATGCCAAATTAGTCAAGCCTTTTGGAAACATGGTGCCTCTTGCTGTGGCCCATGTTTAGTTTTATTTTATCATACAGGTAATATTCCTCTCTTAACATTTCCAGCTGCCTGAGTAACTACGATTAATGCTGACATTTGAGGGGACGTGTTAGTTATTTAAAAAGGCAGCCTTTCCATACTGTTTTTTTTTGTTGTTGTTGTTTGTTTGTTTTTTTTGGTTCCAGGGATTGAACTCGGTCCTTGCGCTTGCGCAGAAGGCGGTGAATGTATACTGTTTTTAATAGCATCTTTCCTTGCATTCGGGAAAGTGCATAAGTCACCAGTGGACAGCTCTGATGAGGTTTTGCTAAATGAAACTATTGTGTAGCCAGCCCTGATCAAGGAACAGAAATCCTTTGTTCCCTCATCCTCTCTCAGCCCACAGCTCCCAGGGTAATGGATGTCTCATCTTCTAACACCACACATTCGTTTTTTGCTTTTTTTTTGGATACTGGGGATCAAACCAAGGCCTGGTACCCGCCAGACAAGCACTTTACTGCTGAGCTACATCCACAGCCTTATTTGCTTTTTTATTTTTTATTTTTTGGTACCGGGGATCGAACTCTGGTCCTTGTGCTTGCGCAGCAGGTGGCGAAACCACTGAGCTAAATCCCCGGCCCCCTATTTGTTTTATTTTTAAAAATTGAGATAAGCTCTACTAAGCTGCCCAGGCTGGCCTCAAACTTATGATCCTTCTGCTTCAGCCTCCTTAGTAGCTGGGATTACAGGTTTGTGTCCCTGTGGCTGGCTTTTTTTTCTTTTTCCTTGTGATGAGATCTTGCTGTGTTTCCCAGGCTGGCCTTGAACTCCTGGGCTCAAGTGATCCCCCTGTGACCCCAGGAGCTGGTACTGCAGGCATGCACTGTGCCACCATTCTGGGGTTACAAAAGCTAAATCAATCAATCAATCTTTCTTTCATCTTCACTACTGGGGATTGAACACAAGGCCTTCACACTGAGTTGCATTCCTGGCCCTTTTTAACTTTTTAATTTTTTTTTTTTTTTGGTTCAGGGGATCGAACTCGGGACCGTGTGCTTTCGAGGCAGGGGGCAGAACCACTGAGCTAAATCCCCCGCCCCCTTTTTTATTTTTCACCTTTGAGACAGGCCAAGTTGCTAAATTGCCCATGCTGGGCTTGAACTTAGGATCCTCCTGTCTCGACCTCCAGGAGGATCACAGGTGTGTGCCACTATGCCTGGATTAGCTTTTCTAAACCCTCCAGAATTTCAGTGGGATTAACAAAAAGAAATCACCATGGTAGAACACCAGAATGTTGTGTTTCTGATGCACGTTCGCGGGTAGACTTGAATTGTTATATTCTCTATTGAGATAAGGAAATAGAATAAGCCATCACTATGGATACATTTTTTTTATCATCTCCTTAATAAAAAATGTGTCAGTCTTTGAAAAATAATCTTTTAGAGGCAAGTTTGTAATTTCTGCATTGCCTTTTCATCCCAGGCGAAGTGTTTGTCTTAAATGATGGTGGAGAAGTTGATCTGGATCTTGGAAATTATGAGAGATTCTTGGATATTAATCTTTATAAAGACAACAACATCACCACTGGAAAGATCTATCATCACGTGATCAAGAAGGAGCGGCGCGGAGACTACCTGGGGAAGACAGTGCAAGGTATGAGGTGCCACGGGCGCTTGGGGCTGGGGCGCTGGGCTCCAGACAGTTGTGCAGTATCAGTTTTCATCCTTTCAAAATTTCTGCACTCTTCTTATTTTGGGAGGGGTGGTTTGAGACAGGGTCTCGCTATGTAGTTCAGGCTGGCCTTGAACTCACTGTGTAGCCCAGGCTGGCCTCAAACTCATGGTGATCATCCTGCCTCAGCCTCTTGACTGCTGGGATTACAGGAGTGCACCACCACACTGGTTGGCATTTCTTTTCTTTCTTAAGTAATGTCATTGTTCTTAGTCTAAACCTCATACCCCCAGGTTTACTTTAGAAAATTTGTGGAGAACCATTTATTTATCTTTTAATCAGAATGCAGATTATTTTTTGGCATTTATTTTGGTGTTTTGAGCAGGGTCTTGCTATGTTGTCCAGGCTGGCCTTGAACTCACTATGTAGCCCTGGCTGGTCTCCCACTTGCAGAGATCCTCCTGTCTCAGCCTCCCAAGTGCTGGGATTACAGGTGTGTACCACCTCTCCTGGCCTCCTTGGTTTGGTTTTGTTTTGAGACATGTCTTGACATGTAGTTCAAACTGGCCTTGAGCTCTCTGTGTAGCCTGGCTGGCCTCCAACTTGCAGCAATCCTCCTGCCTCAGCCTCCCAAGTGCTGGGATCACAGGTGTGCACTGCTATGCCTGGCTCCTGTGTTTTTGTTTTGTTTTGTTTTGTTTTTTGGTACCGGGATCGAACTAGGGACCTTGCACTTTCGAGGCAGGCGCCGGAACCACTGAGCTAAATCCCCGGCCCTCCTGTGTTAATATGTTTACTTTTCTCCCTTGATCTTGTTTCTTTGCATGGCTGGTGAAAGGGATGGGAGAGTCCAGGCACCCGCCTCTTCCCAGGTGGGATGATTCCATTCTGCCTTGAAAGAACCCCCTTGGCACTTTGGGTCTTGAACCCTTGAATTCCTGCACGGTGGGGTGAAGGTGATGCCTGCCCTCTCTGAATCATTCTCAAGTTGGAAGCAGTTAAGTACACACTGAAGTCAGAGTCTGAAAAGCAGACCTAAAGGAGGGAGACTTGCTCTTTATACCCGACATGCTCTGTGATGGGGCAGAGCAACACCCCTGAGCCCTGAGCTGCTCTAGCGGGAGAAGAGCCCACCTGACCCACCCCTCAGACAGAGGCTGTTGGGCATGAGCTCTTCTCAATTCACCAGTGGAAGGCGCTTTCTCTGTGTGCATCCCGGAAGCCAGCATTTCTACTTCCTGCGTCAAGTTAGAGTTTTGTATCTGGAAGCCATGGTCTGTCTCCTTTGTGTTTCTTCAGCTGAGATCAGGAACGTTGGGCCCTTTTGCCTCCCTGAGGGGCCCTGGGGCTCAGGTACTAGTGGAGACTGCCTTTTCGCCCTCTTGCTGATTGATGCCTCTTGGGGTCTGGGGCTCAGCATCTCCATCCTCTCCCCACTGGTTGGTACCCCAACAACTGACACAGCCTCCCTCCTCACATAGGTCTTAGTTGGCAAGACAGGGATTCTCTGGTTTTGGTTTCAACAGAGATAAAGATAGCACTTCTGCATTGTTTTGTTTTTGAGGCAGGGTGTCACTGTGATTCAGGCTGGCTTTGAACTTACTGTGTAGCTCAGGCTGGCCTTAAACTTGCAGTGATCCTCCTGCCTCAGCCTCCTGAATGCTGGGATCACAGGTGTGCGCCACCACACCCAGCTGCTTTGTTTCTCGATCTCTGTGACTTGTGAGTGTTGAGCACAAAGGCCCAGGACTGTGACTCGCACATTTTTCAAGAGGGGAGATGGTCACGGGGGTCTGGAGCTGGTCTGATCTGCTGGTCCCTTGGGCTGGGAGGTCTGAGGTATTTTCCTTACTGGTGGGCATGAGGTGAGCTGCAGTGTGTGACTTCTTTCTGCAGTTGTCCCCCACATCACTGATGCCATCCAGGAGTGGGTCATGAATCAGTCCAAGGTGCCAGTGGATGGGAACCCAGAAGAGCCCCAGATCTGCGTCATAGAGGCAAGCATTCAACCTGCCCTTCGAAGCGTGTATGCTGCAGTGTCGCTTCCTGCTCCAGGGCACTCGGCAGCAGGTGCAGACAGATGGCCCTAGCCTCAGGACCTTGGGCTAGGAGCCCGGTGGCGCAGGGAACTGCAGAGCCGGTCCCTCTCTTTTTGGTCACCAGTTGAGGGGGAAGATTCTCAGTAAGGCAGTGATTGCATGACCTCTCGTGGTGGGCACGCAGTGACCCGAGCGTGACATAGGGAGTAGTTCAGAGGTCTGCTAGGGCCCGGCCTGCGACGGGCACAGTGTGGCCCCTGGGGAGCTTGCAGGTGGCCTTGGCTGCAAGTGTTTTGCGTAGAGAGACTGAGTTAGGAAGTCAGGTGGGAAAGATGAGAAGTGAGTTTCAGCTATTTAAGGAAAGAAAGGAGTGTTTGATGGCAGAGGTGGTGGTGCACGCCTGTCATCCCAGCACTCTTGGGAGGCTGAGGCAGGAGGGTTGCCACCAGTCTGGGCCACACGGTGAGACCTTGTCTTAAAAAGCAAACAAAAAACAAAACAAAACAAAACTCCCAAAGGGTGTGTGTGTGTGTGTAAATAAATGGGCATGAGAATACCTAACTCATTCTTTTGAGCAGCATTTTTTTTTTTTTGGTACCGGGGATTGAACTCGGGCCCTTGCACTTGCAAGGCAGGTGGTGAAACCACTGAGCTAAATCCCCGGCCCCCTAACTCATTCTTTTGAGAATTAAAGAAGTCTCCACACTTAGTGCTTAGAATGGCATCAAAGCTACTGGAAGTGCTCAGCTAAGGCTGGGCATGTAGCTCAGCAGTGGAACCCTGTCTAGCATGGGTTGAAAACCTGGATTCCATCCCAGGTACTCCTGCCCCCATGTGTGAGGTGACTTGGTGGTAGTGTGAAGGGGCTGTTGTCACCAGAGCCTCTGCAGGTTAGGTCCCCAACTTTCTGAACCAGGAGAGTGGACAGTCTCTATTCATGTTTGGCCACGTCATTGAAGCACAAACCGGAAGTCATTTGTACCTGGTGTAGTTAAAGGAATAAAAGTTTTTCTTCCAAAAGGAAGATTCCTCCCATAAAGTGTTTTGTTTGGTTTTTTGAAACAGGGTCTTGTTTTTTTTTTTTTTTTTTGGTACTGGGGATTGAACTCAGGACCTTGCACTTGCAAGGGAGGCGGTGGAACCACTGAGCTAAATCCCCAGCCCAGGGTCTCATTTTCTAGTCCAGGCTGGCCTCGAACTCGTGGCAATCTGCAGATACCAGGGGACTCTGAAGGTTTCTGGACACGCGGATACCTCTGCTCCAGGTCTTAAAGAGGGAACGTCTGAAGGGACTGCAGTACCACTATTGGCCACATGAGGACAGAAGTGAATAACGTTTAGAATTTTGGCTTCCTTTTTCCATTCACTCCCAACTCCCAACAAAACCCAGAAAAGAGCATTTCTTTCCTTCTCAAAACAAAATTTTGTTTTCATTAGATTATTGTGTCTTGTAGTTACTGATACCCCCGTCCCGTCCCCACCAAGTTCCTGACTGCATGTGATGTACATGTGTCTTTGTTTCTTGGAATTTCTTACCTGTTCCAGGGAACAAGAAGCTTGAATTCTGATTTCTTTGGTTTTTTGAGACAGGATCTCACTGTGTAGTTCAGGCTGGCCTTGAACTCACTGTGCAGCCCAGGCTGGCCTCGAACAGATAGTGATCCTCCTGCCTCAGGCTCCCAGGTGCTGGGATGACAGGGGGGCGCCACCAGCCTAGCTCTCTGGTTGTGTTTTGCTGTGTGAATTAAAGTTAGTGAAGACTCATCTCTTCCCCAGCAAGCCGGTCAGCAGTGTACCTAGTGTGGGTCTGTCATGGTTGTGGTAACTCACTGCATGGCTCGCTTCCTTGGGGCTTCAGTCACCTGAGACCTCTCTCTCCCTCCTGGTCACTGAGCTAAGCCCCAGTGGGCAGGGAGGCCAGAATGCTGGGGCTGCTGTGCTGTCTCTGGGAAGGGCACAGTGGGATGCTGTACTAGAGGAGTGGCGTGTCCGGTGTCTCCTGTCTGAAGGTTGTGATGCAGGAGGGCAGTTGGGGGCGGGAAGGAAGAGCTGCGGGCCTGAAAGCTTGTACATGCTAAGCAGCAGGCTCTGCTACTCAGCTGTAGCCCCAACCTTGTATTTAGAACTTTTACTTTTTATTTATTTATTTATTTATTTATTTATTTATTTTTTTGGTTTTTGAGACAGGGTCTTGTTTTGTAGTTCAGTCTGGCTTTGAACACCTTATGTAGCCCAGGCTGGCCCTAAACTTGTGGCAATCCTCCTGCCTCAGCCTCTTGAGTGCTGGGATGACAGGTGTGCACCACCCAAGTTCTACCCTTGCTTATTGTTTAACTTTGTCTTGTTTTTCTGGTCAAACTCTGAGCTACTGAGTAGCAGACTGTCTTAAATTCTCCCCAGCACTTCACTTACAGTGTTGAGCTACTACAGTGTACCATAGTAGAATCTCAAGTGCTAAGGAATTAATTTTATTTTTATTTTTTATTTTTGTTTTTGTGATACTGGGGATTGAATCCCGGGCCTTTGCACTGAGCTACATTACCAGCCCTTTTTATTTAATTTAATTAATTTATTTATTTGGTACTGGTGATTGAACTCAGGACCTTGCACTTGCAAGGCAGGCAAGTGCAAGATTTAGCCATTGAGCTAAATCCCCAGCCCTTTTTATTTTTTGAGACAGGGCTTGTTAAGTCACTAACATGCCGGGGGTGGTCTAGAACTTGTGATCCTCCTGCCTCAGCCTCCCATGTTGGTGGAATTAGCAGCATGCGCCACCATGCCCAACTACAGAATTAATTTTAAAATCCATTTGATAGACTTTAAGAATTTAATATATCAAGGATGAATGGGTTAAGGTGAATTTTTTCTTCGTCTAAGGCAAAAAGCTTTAAGTAACCTTATTGGAAATACAGTGTAAGTAAAGTTGACATTTATTGAAGGATTACTCTGCCAGGAGTATTCATGGGGGGTTTGCTACTATTTGTTTTAGAAAGCCAGCATGTTTTAATAACGGGGATTTAATTCTAGTCGTGCCAACACTGTAAGGAGCCTGCTCAAATACAGTGGTGGGGGGTTGGTGAGCAAGAGCTCAAAATTTCCATCCAGAGATCCAGGCAGAACACGGTAGCTGTCACTTTTCTGGCATTGTCACTGGATTTGAGTTCTGCCTTCTAACTGGGGCCATTTGTTAAAACTAGCTTATTGTGCTCCTCTGCCATAAGTTGCCCAGGATGGGCTGGAACTTGCGATCCTCCTGCCTCAGGCTCCCAGAGTGCTGGATACCAGGCCTGTGCCACCACGCTAGGCAGATCCATTTTCAGTGTGTAATTCAGGGACTTCGAGCACTTGCAAGCGTTTGTTCTTGTGCACACGTGGAAGTTCAGTTCTTGCGCTCGGGTATGAATAAATTTTCTACTTGTGTGTGTGCCATGTGAGATGTTTGCTCATGGCGAGTGTTTTCTGTCTTCTCTTCCCAGCTGGGAGGCACCATTGGAGACATTGAGGGCATGCCGTTCGTGGAAGCCTTCAGACAGTTCCAGTTCAAGGCGAAGAGAGAGAATTTCTATAACATCCATGTCAGCCTGGTCCCTCAGGTGGGCCCAGAGATGAGTGCCCCACGCGGGGGGCTGGGGCGGCGTCACTTACCTGCAAGCGTGAGACTGACAGGGATACATTCCTTTTTAGCCCAGTGCCACTGGGGAACAGAAAACCAAGCCCACACAGAACAGTGTCCGTGCGCTGAGGGGGCTGGGCCTGTCTCCGGATCTGGTGAGTGAAGCGCAATGGGTAGGTTTGCCCTCCAGGCCTCTTGGAGGATGACCTCCATGTTTTATTTATTTTAATTTACTATTACTTTTTGAGACAGGGTCTCACTGTGTAGTTCAGGCTGGCCTTTGTAGCCTAGGCTGGCCTGGAACTCATGGTGATCCTCCTGCTTCAGCCTCCCAAGTGCTGAGATGTCAGGTGTGTGCCACCACGCCCGACTCTTTGCTTGCATTTACTGACTCAGCACTCTGAGCCCCGGCTCCATCCGCGGAGACGGCTCGACGCTGTGCTTGCACTTGGTTGTCTGTCGTCTCCTGTGCTCGGCTAGGCTTCCGGTCCTGAGGGCCACGGGTGAGCAGGTGCGCCCTGGCCGGGTGTCTTGCGTGGGAGAACTGGCCACGGTGGCCTCTAGAAGTGAATGGCGGCAGGGGCGGGTGGCTCCTGCTGGCTGACAGCAAACTCGCTTTGACAGATCATGTGCCGAAGCTCCACGCCCATCGAGATGGCCGTGAAGGAGAAGATCTCCATGTTTTGTCACGTGAAACCCGAACAGGTGGGTCCTCGCGGCTCTTCACTTTTTTTTGGTGGTACTGGGAAATGAACCCAGGGCCTTTGCACTGAGCGACATCCCCAGCCCTTTAAAAAGATTTCCTATTTAATTTTGAGACCAGGTCTCGCTAAGTCATTAAGTTGCCTAGGTTGGGTTTGAGCTTGAGATCCTCCTGCCTCAGCCTCCCCAGTGCTGGGATCACAGGCATGCACCACCTCGTCCGGCTTCCTAGTGCCCTTCTGTGCATCAGGAGAATGAAGCCACCAGTCTCTCGTGAGCTGGGCCGCCTTCCCGAGGCCCATCCGACTGCCGCCTAAGCAGCCTCCTCTGTCCTCGCCGCAGGTCATGTGTATCCATGACGTGTCCTCCACGTACCGAGTGCCCGTGCTCCTGGAGCAGCAAGGCATTGTGAAGCACTTCAAGGAGCGGCTGGACCTGCCCGTGGGCGACTCCTCAAGCGGCCTGCTGCTGCAGTGGGGGAACATGGCCGACAGGTGGGCTGAAGTCCCCTGGCCACCCGCAGGCATGGGGCTCGTGTGTGTGTGTGTGTGTGTGTGTGTGTGTGTGTGTGTTTGTGTGTGTGTGTCTCCGTGTGTCCGAGCCATGGTGCCTCATTAGGGGCTTTGTTGGGTTCCTTGAAGATTTCTGCAGTCTTCGACTTCTCTGTACTTAAACCAAAGTGAATTCAAAGAATTTAGGCTCTGAATGGAGTATTTTTTATTCATGGAGCACTTTGATTTATTTCTTAGTTTCTGAATATTTTATCATTTTAAATGTTCTAGTCCTGTTTTGGTTTTAGGATTCAGCTAATATATATATATATATATATATATATGTGCATGTGTGTATATGTACATACATACATATATATATATTTTGATATTTATTAGCACATGTTTGAGGTACATAATGCTTACATTCCGTGGTGGCCCATGTCTGTCATCCCAGCACTTAGGAGGCTGAGCCAGGAAGATCGCCAGGAATTTGAGGCTAGTCTGGCCTACACAGTGAGTTCAAGGCCAGCCTTAACTGCATAGCAAGAGACCCTGTCTCAAAAAAGAAAAGAAAAAAAGAATACATTTTCAGCTAATATTTTCTAAAGAAAATCCTTTTGTTTTGTTTTGTTTGAGACAGAGGCTGGCTATGTAGTTCTGGCCTCAAACTCTCAGCAATCCTCCTGCCTCAGCCTCCTGAGTACTAGGACTACAGGCCTGCGCCACCACGCCCAGCGCTTCTGGTACTTTCTGAAGCCAAATGTTAGGTCTTGATATTAAGTTTCCTGCAGCTGCTGTCCCAGATTACAACAGCAGTTTGCTCTCCAGTCGGGGAGGTTGCTCCTCGGGCTGCTCTCAGGGACCCGCTGCCCGCCACATTGTGGGGTGCGGGCTTATGGCTGCGCCTCTCTGATGTCTGCCTTCGAGTGCACACTGCCTTCTCCTTGTCGTCTCCCTCCCTCTTCTCTGGTAAGGGCCGGGCACGGCAGTGGTGCACACCTGCAATCTCAGCACTTGGGAAACTGAGGCAGGAGGATCACCGTGAGTTCGAAGCCAGCCTGGGGTACTAGGTGAAGACCCTGTCTCAAAAACCAAAGCAAATAAAACAAAGTAAAAGCATAGGGAGCTGGCCTGGGAGCCGAGGCCAGAGTGGCACCCCTGTCCCATCTTGGGACCTGTGACTCCCTCCCCTCCTGTCACAGTGGCTTCTTGTGGCTTTGCAGCTGGCCCTGCACACCTGGGGGGAAGGACATGTGGGGCACAGGCAGAGGAAAGAGGGCGCTGGGTGCACAGTGGGCCCTCCCGGTGGGAGCCTGTGGCTGTGAGTGCCAGGAGGGCGAAGGAGAGGCCCAGCCAGCTGCCCCCAGACCGGACGCCCTGCTTCTCCCTCTGCCTGCGCTTCCGGGCCGCTAGTTGTGCGCTCTCCAGGGCAGCATCTACTCCAGTTGGGAGTTAAAGGGTTTTTGCGTGAGACGACGGGGTCTTGCTGTGTAGCCCAGGTTAGCCTGGAGTGCTGGGATGACAGGCATGCACCCCCATGTTCCTGCACTCTGCTGAGTGTGACGAGAGAGCTTCCTCCGCGTCCTAACATTTTCCTATGGTGTTTGGGGGAAGGGCTGGCATTAAAGCCCTGCAATATCCCAGCTCCACGTTCACATTTCCGTAACTAATAGCCGAGCATGGCTTTGTCACACGCTGTGAACAGCGCTCCCCACAAAAAAACGTTAACGATTGCGTCTCTAATGGAGAAGTGATGGGAATGGCTTGTGATATTTCAAACCCTTCTCCGAGCCCTGTTCCTCGGGTGTGCTGTGAAGGCCTGGCCCCTTCCTTGCCAGCCACCTGGAAAGGAGCGTTTGAAATGGAGACACTCTGAACTCGGCTTCTTCTACAGTGTCGCCTTCCGGAGTTACTGTGGGAGTTTCCTGTTGACCCCACAAGGCCTGTCTTCCAGAGTGTCCGCTTAGAAGCTCGTTTAGGAATAGCTCATGTTTGTGAGATGGCTTTTAAAGTTTTTTATTTGGATGCTTTTTCCTCTGATCCACTCTGATTTCCACATGCACCTGTTTAAGGGATTTCTTAGGATTTTGATATTTGTTTGGTGAACAGATTTTGGTTGTTTGAGGGGGAAACTGAGTCAAGTTCACCAGGTAGGAATAGCATGTGTTCCTAAGGTTTAAAAAAGTGCCTTGGAGCCAGATGTGGTAGTGCAGGTCTGTCATGTCAGGACTCAGGAGGCTGAGACAGGAGGATCGCTGTGAGTTTGAGGCCAGCCTGGACTGCATAGAGAGACCCTGTCTCAAAAATAAAACAAACAAAAAACCAGAACAAACTGCTCTGGGATAAAAGCGGTGGCCACCACCGTTGCTTGTGATGTCACTTACATGCATATTAACCTCGAGTTCCGCCGTCCTCAGGTATGAAAGGCTGCAGAAAACCTGCTCCATAGTCCTGGTTGGGAAGTACACCAAGCTCCGGGACTGCTATGCGTCCGTGTTCAAGGCCCTGGAGCACTCAGCCCTGGCTGTCAACCACAAGCTCAACCTCATGGTGAGTCTGGCCCGGCCACACAGCATGGTCCGGGGGGCAGGTCATCTCTCAGGGCTCGGGGCTCTCAGCTGGCTTGAAGTCAGCCGCAGCTCAGGGGCAGTGGGCCGTGTGAACCCCAGCCAGGGCTTCTTGGTCCATCCCTCCTCACTCAGCAGAGCCCACGGTGGCCCCACTTGCTCTCTTTCCTCAGTCATTTCAAATCCTCTCCTCCCTCATCTGCAGACCTCCTTGGCCCTCCCAACACACACACACACACACACACACACACACACACACACACAGCTTTCTTTGGTGTTTTGAGACAGGGTCTCACTACATAGTTCAGTCTGGCCTTGAACTCCCTATGTAGCCCAGGCTGGCCTCAAACTCAGGGCGATCCTGCTGCCTCAGTCTTCCAAGTGCTGGGATGACAGGCGTGCGCCACCACGCCCGGTTTTCTCAATGATCTTGATTCTCCTGCCTCTGGGGCTTAGTCTCCCCAGAGGTCTCCTGAGGCCTCGGTCCTTCCCTCCCTCCTGCAGCGCCCAGTGGTGGCTCCCACGTGGCTCCTAGTTACTTGAAGCCTTACTTATTGCATCCTGGCCACAATCACACCGGTGGTGCTGTCTGTCTACTTAGTCACATAATCTTCCAGGGAGATTGTCAGAGCCACCGGACAGATCAGCCCTTTCTGTCCCAGTGTCCTGAGCAGTGGTTGCACAGAAAGTGCTGTAAGGTTTTCCAGCGTTTTACATGGCCACACTGCCCTTGCGTCAGTACCGTGTGCAGTCACAGACGGACTGGCACCACTAAGTGTAAAACAGCTCTGTGTTCTGTGGCTTTCGCCTGAGCATTGTTTTCAGTTCCAACAAGGAGCTTTTTAATAGAAAACCTGGCATCTGTCCCGTAGGAGTCTCCCACATGTCTGTGCATCCAGAAGTTCGCCATTAGTCATAAAGACAACTTTAGAATATTTGTAGAATTAGATGTTATAGCCGGTGGTACCTTGCCTTATAAACTCAATCCTCTCCACAACTGGACGGGCACTGAATCACATTTTTCCCATATGACAGCCTGGAACCTGACCACTGAATTGGATTCGGTGCTCGTCCAACTTGGTTTGTGAGCTAATAGAGATCCTTTTTGCAAGGTCCCCCGAGAGCTTCTGGCTCCCGGAGGAGGGCGTACTCTGCCAGGGCTGCAGGGTGTGGGGATGGCTCGGGGACTCAGCGCGTTTCTGTCCTGAGTCTCTGCTGTGAGGGGTTTGAGGAGCCCCTGCAGTGCATCCTGCACGCATGGTGCCTGGTGTGCTCACTGTCCCGTTCTGCACCGTGTCTGTCCAGTATATAGACTCCATTGACCTGGAGCAGGACACCAACGCCCAGGACCCCGTGAGATTCCACGAAGCCTGGCAGAAGCTGTGCACAGCCGAGTGAGTACAGGCTCTGGGGCTGGGGTTGTGCACTGTGCCACTTTGACGTATGCTTTGGGACCTGGTGGAGGGTGGTGGGGCTGGCAGTATTTGGGGAGGGTGGTGAGACTGTGGGGAGAGGAGTGTGTTGAGTCTCCCGAGAGGGACAGGTGCACAGAGTATGCACAGTTAAGGTACAAGAGGGGCAGCCTTCCTCTCTTGATTTTTTTTTTGTTTTTTTATTTACTTATTTATTTATTTTTTCTGAGACAAGGTCTCACTATGCAGTTCAAGCTGACCTTGAACTCACTATGTAGCCCAGGTTGGCCTCATACTTGCAGAGATCCTTCTGCCTTGGCCTCCCGAGTGCTGGGATTAAAGTGGTATGCTACCGTGCCTGGCTTCAGGAGCTGTTATTTTTAAAATTTTTTTTGGTACTGGGGATCGAACTCGGGTTCTTGTGCTTGTGCAGCAGGTGGTGAAACCACTGAGCTAAATCCCCGGCCTAGGAGCTGTTATTTTTAACCTTGTAATATTGCTCACATACCCTAACACTCACCCTTGTAAAGCACGGCTCTGTGGCCTCCGCCACCATTCGCTTGGATTGTACTTTAAGCTGCTGAATCATCAGCAGACCTTTGGGGGTCAGCATTGTTCTGTGATGGTAGCATGCCCTTCCGGTGGGTTCGCTGTTGTCCTGGCCACCTGGGAGTGTTGGCCTAGAACAATGATGGTGAACCTTTTAGAGCTTTTAGTGATACCAACAGCTGGCTGTGGCAGCTGTGTGCCATAGGTTCGCCACCACTGGCCTGGAAAGTGTCTAGCCAGGAAATTCTCATTCACCGCCACTTAATTACCAGTTCAGACCTTAGGCTGATTTTATCAGTTTAACTCTTTTTGATTATGTAACAGATCTTTTAATTTTTTTGATTTTGTTTTCTGAACTGGCTATGTAGCCCAGGCTGGCCTCGAACTCGAAGCCATCCTCCTGCCTCAGCCTCCCCAGTGCCAGGATCGTAGGTGTGCGCCATGCCCACCTGGCTTAAGTAGGCGATCTTCACATTGTCACAGTGGTGCTTTGGAGAGAGCCTCAGCCTGTTTTATTCTCTGGTGGTGTTCTTTTCTTTTTCATTTTTGCTTGATACAGGGCTGGAGACCGGGGCCTTGTGCGTGTGGGGCAGCTGTTCTAGCTGCCCTTGGTGCCACTGCATGTAGTGCAGTGTCCCAGGCACTGAGCTCCTCAGCATGCACCTGGGCCCGGAAGCGGCACGGAGGTGACTGAGAAGCTGTCACGGCTTCCTCGTAGCAGGGACGGCGTGCAGGGTGGGCAGTGGTGCCACGGGTGGGACGGGGGACCCGAAGCGTGTGTCTGCCGGTGTGCTGGGCTGGTGGTGGGTTCAGTCACGTGACACTCTGTCTCACTTGCTGTCTCCCCATGCTGATTTCAGCGGTATCCTTGTGCCTGGAGGCTTTGGACTCAGAGGAACATTGGGGAAAATGCAGGCGATTTCTTGGGCAAGGACAAAGAAGATTCCCTTTCTGGGTAAAGCTCATGTTTATTGATTCTAATTATGAGTTCATTAGTTTTTTTTTTCTTTAATGCAGTGCCAGGGATTGAACCCAAGCCCTTTGCACTGAGATACATCCCTAGCCCTTTTTTTTTTTTTGGTACTGGGGATCGAACTTGGGACCTTTGAGCTTGCGAGGCAGGTGCCGGAACCACTGAGCTAAATCCCTGGCCCCCCCAGCCCTTTTTATGTTGTTTGAGACAGGGCCTCGCTAGGTCACTAAATTGCCCAGGCTGGGCAAACTTGTGATCCTCCTGCCTCAGCCTCCTAGAATGCTGTGATTACAGGCCTGCACCACCACACTTGGCAAATTTATTAGATTTTTTTTTTTGGAGACAGGGTCTCGCTGTGTAGTTCAGGCTGCCCTTGAACTCACTATGGTATGTAGCCCAGCCTGGCCTCATACTGGTGGTGATCCTCCTGCTTCAGCCTCTCATGTGGCATGCACCATCTTGCCTGGCTAAGTGTATTAGCTTTTTGACACCTAGTAGTGGTCACACTTACTAAGATTTGTGCTTGTGAAGCTGTGAATTTCAATTTCACAGTTTAGGCACCAAATAGTCTGCTACAGGGGTGAGCACTGGATCTTAAGGCCAAACCCAGCTCATGGGCTGTTTCTATGAACTTTTACCGGAACAGCCACACCAATTTCTCTGACATGTTGTTGAACAGTAGAGTTAGACACCATACAGCCTGCAAAGCCCAGAGTATTTGTCATGGGACACTGGAGATAAAGTTTGTTCTCCTAGGAGAACTTGCACTGTTCTGAAAAGTCCTAGGTGGCCAGGGCCCGGGAGAGGTCTCCTCGGCTTACTTTCTCCGAGTCCCTCCCCAACCTGTCCTCTCACTACTTCAAGCAGGGAGCCATTGAGCAGAGCTCTGAGTCTCCGTGCAGAGAGGACACATTCAGGTTGAAACTTGTCCACTCACTCTAGTGAAGTTAATACGGAAAGACCAGCTCATGCTCTGGGAGTGTCTCTGGTAGAATGTGGTAGAGTCCATTTCTCTCTTTTTTTTTTTTTGCTTAAATTCTTTTATTGGTGTATTTTAGGTGCACAATACGTTTACATTTATCTTTGGGTGCTTGTACCTGTACATGATGTATCTTGGTTCTTATTTTACCCCCATTCCCTGTGAGCCCTTCACCCCCTCCACCCTGCCCTATTTACATAGATTTCGTTTCCATTTTTTCTTTTCTCATAATTTTTCCTTTCCCTTCTTTCCTTTCCCCTTCCCCTCCCACTACCTCTACCCCCTTGGACCTTTTCTTCCTATTTCAAATTATCAATTATTCGTTTTAATCATTTTAATCCTTATTTACACTTTCAGTTTCTCACACTAGAGAAACTATTCGGTATTTACACATGTGTGTCCTATTTATTTCACTTAAGAGTATCGCCTCAATGTGCCATTTCTCTTTTTAAGAGACAAAGTCTCTGTGTTGCCCAGGCTGGCCTCAAACACGGGCTTAAGCAATCCTCCTGCCTCAGCCTTCTGAGTAGCTGGGATTAATGGCAGAGTAGCGCCTGGCAGAGTTGGGCCTTTTGGATGCTCTCATTTAGGCTGCACAGTGTGGTCTCTGTAGCGGAGAGGCCAGAGGAAAGCAGCCCTTGCTGTACTAAGGCAGCCCCGGGGCTGGGGTCAGGACACAGAGGCCCAGCTCTTACTGCACGGCGGTGCTCTGCTCCTCAGGGTTGGTGAACACGGGCCCCACCTCTGCTGCCTTTAACTGTCTTCAGATGGTTTCTCTGCCCATCACGTGGGCCTTGATTAGCTTCCCAGACACTGCCCTGGATACCCTTTTCAAAAGAGAAGTCAGGAGTCGTCACTTTGGTACTTGTTTTGCTTTTACCGTGGTGGCAGCTCTTTGGAGCCATCATTTTCTATCTAAACTTGGTTTCCGTCTGAGTGTGGTTAATGTTCCTAAAATAATGCTGACCTTGTATGTGGAAGGGTTGTACAGCACGTGTCATGGCTCACGCCTGTCATCCTAGCACTTGGGAGGCTGAGGCAGGAGGGTTGCTATGAATTTGAGGCCAGCCTGGGCTACATAGCAAGACCCTGTCTCAAAAAAAAAAAGTGAATAAATACCAGCCATGTCCATTTGTTGATATATGTGCTCTTTAAAATAGGAGTCTGCCTCGGGATGCAGCTGGCTGTGATAGAGTTTGCGCGAAATTGCCTAGACATGAAAGGTGAGTCGGTTGGCCAGTGAGTGAGCATTTACTGACAGAACTTTGTCCCTTACAATATTCTCAGCAGCACTGGTGACTTTCTGAACTCTTCTTCATCTCCAGATGCTAATTCCACAGAGTTTGAGCCCAGCACCCCCATCCCTTTGGTAAGTGGCCTGCTTCTTTTTTGGTCTCGTCACTGATGTATCTGGCTCTTGCTGCCATGCATAAAGGGTGATTGGTAAGTTTTCCTTACCGTGCCAGAACGTTTAAAATGCTATATGAATTGATTATTACCTATTATTCTTATATCAAACTGCTTTGCTCTCAGTAGTCTGTCTTGTCTATGCCTGGAAGAAAGACAAGGTCCTGGACCGCAGCTTTCAGGCTTAATGTTTAGGAAAGCAGTCAATTGGCTGTGACAACAATTTATAACAGCTAATATAAATAAATGAGCTGTCCTGTCTCCAGACTTGTCCCCAGCCTTTCTGTTTTCCACATTGGTGGCCATCTATCTTTCTAAAACAAAAGTGACAAGCATGCTGCTGCTGGTCCTTATCTTCAGCCAATTCCTCTTCCCCTAAAACATTCAAGCCAGGCGTGGCGGTGCACACCGGTGATCCCAGCATTCAGGAGGCTGAGGCAGGAGAATATCGCAAATTGGAGGCCTGCCTGGGCTACAAAGGCTTCCTTATCCGGCTTTCATAGAGGCCGGTTTCCTGTATAACAGCTGAAATAGCAGTTCCAGAAGAGCCGAGGGTTCTTCTTGAAGATGTGCTACTAGATGGGAAGTACTTTTGCCAGTAGGTGTCACTGTTCGATAGCCCTGCTGAGGTGAATTCTTTCCCAACTGCTCTTTACTCGTTGTGTGTGTGGGAGGCAAAACTTAGACACAGACAGTTTAGCCCTGCAGGAGAGGTACAAAACTACCCCTCATTCGGCCACCTTTGCCCATTTCCCTTCCCTGGTGCAACCACTTTCATCTCGTTCTTCTGTTACTAGTCCAGAGATTGCACACGGGTGCGTGTGTATGCATGTGTGTGTGCACATGTGTGTGTGTGTGTGCATGCATGCACATGCATGCATGGATATGTGATCCCCCTTTTGGTGATAGCCTCATGCATAGTAGGTGTGTGCTATACTGCTGAGCTACACCTCTAGCCCCTGTATTTTCATTTTATTTTAGTTTAGTTTTGAGACAGGGTCTCGCTATGTAGCCCAGGCTGGCCTTGAACTCGCAGTGATCCCCTGCAATCCTGGGATTCCAGGTGTGCGCCACCATGCCCGGCTTCCCTTTAAATGAATACCTGTCACGCACGCACGCATGCTTGAGGCCTGGAGCCACCTTGCTTTTTTTTTTTTAAAGGCAGGGGGGAAAGTTTTATTTGGCTCACAGTTTGGAGAGGTTTCAGTTCATAATTGGCTGGCTCCAAGGCAGGGTGGCACATGACAGAGGGGCCACAGTTCCCACCTCGCTTTGGACTCGTCGCCCTGTGGCAGCTCCCAGGGACCTCACACATGCACTGCTTGTGCCCCTTGGAGGCGGCGGCGCAGTCTCGTACTTAGCTTGTGCCCCTTATTTTGTTAACCGTAAATCCTGCTGCAAACGAGTCTCCACCTGCACGCGCCTGTGTCCCGCGCTCCCGACCACACACATCTTTGGGGGATGTGCACATTCTGTGTCGCCAAGGCGCCCGCGCACAAGAGCTAGTGAGGCGACCACAGTGAACTCGGCTGCCCCCGAGAGTCCTGGCCCACATAGGAAGGAGGATCTCAATCTACTACTAATGCATGTGGGCCTGCCTAACACTTAAGCATTTCTTCTCTACTTGTTGAAAAAGAACTCTAGAAAATCTGAATTTACATAAGATATCCTTCTCAGAAAATGGGATCCACATGCCATTTTCAAACATATACACTTGGATGGTGGTATTGGTGAGGAAAAACAAGAAATTCAAAGCATTTTAACAAGATGCAAATGCGTATTTGAAATTGGGATATTTAATAATATTTCAATTTAATTTAAATTTTTTGCAGTACTGGAGATTGAACCCAGGGGCTTCGCACTGCACTACATCACTAGCCCTTTTGAAATTTTTTTACCCCTTTTAAAATTTTTTAAATTTTTGGTACTGGGGATCAAACTCAGGACCTTGCGCTTGCAAGGCAGGCGGTGGAACCACTGAGCTAAATCCCTGGCCCATCCCCTTTTAAAATTTTGAGACAAGGTCTTGCTAAGTTGCCCAGGCTGAGCTCAAATTTGTGATCCTCCTGCCTCAGCTTCCCAGAGTGTGCCAACACTTTTCTTTTTTTTTTTTAGTTTTTAGTTTTTAGTTTTTTGAGACAGGACGGTCTCACTGTGTAGTCCAGGCTAGTCTTGGGTTTTGGATTATTCTATCTCATTGCCCCCTGGATTTGCCTTTGGTCAGCTGGAAGTCTGGGGAGGGGGTTGCATCTTGTTTTAGTGTCTTCTCATTTTCTATTTATTGAAAAAAGTTTAATTCCTGGGTTGATGCTTGTAAATTGCTTATGGCGAGTAGCTTTAATGCCAGTATTCCAAACCCTTAGAAAATGACTACTTCTCAGAGGTGTCTTCCAGATGTAGCTGACTTTTGAGCTGGGTTTTGAGTCTCTTGCAAGATCCTACCTCTTCAATTTATTGGGGATGAGAGGTTTCAGCTTACTTGTCGCAGCCACCAGCTCTTTGACACCGGCCTATAGTTTTGTTTTTTTTCTAAGACCCTTAGGTGTCAGGAGCAATGCTACATAATTTTAGGGAAAAATCATTTGGTTAGCCTAGTTCTCCTGCCTACAGCCCAGCTATGGCATTCCGAGACAGAATTCCATTTTGGCCTCCGGTCACAACTGAGACCTCAATGATCCGGTGATGCTGTGATTCTCCAGGACAAGATTACACCAGCTGCAGACATCCTGGGAGGAACAAAATCTTCATCTACTCAGTTCCTCATTGTTGTTGGATTGTTACATCTTGTTTATGCTGGTGTACTGAACTCTCTGCAAGTTGTTTGTTACATCTTGCTTATGCCGATGTACTGAACTCTCTGTCCCGAGTCATTTGTTACATTTGTTCCTCCCAAAATGTCTTCAGCTGGTGTAATCTTGTCCCGGAGAATCACAGCATCACTGGATCATTGAGGTCTCAGTTGTGACCGGAGGCCAAAATGGAATTCTGTCTCGGAATGCCATAGCTGGGCTGTAGGCAGGAGAACTAGGCTAACCAAATGATTTTTCCCTAAAATTATGTAGCATTGCTCCTGACACTTAGGCACTTAGGTTTTAGTATACCGGGAGGACAACTGCTTAGCACAATTATGTCACCTTCGCTAAAGTAGTACAATCAGCAATAACAATAGCATCAAACACAGCCTAGAAAATGACAAACTGTGGTAACTATTAATTTGCCACCTTTAACAATATGAACTAGATTTGTGGTTATATAACAAAATCTAAGTGAACCAGAAAATGGTATGCAATAAATAAGCCCTTAATATGGTGATTTTACCCTTAGGGTAGAAGATTTAAAAGGGGTTAGGGGGGAAAGATAGAAGAGGAAGGGATTAGAAGCAAGGTTGGAGGATCAAGGAAGATCGTATAAATTTGGGAAACTAGTGAAGAAGAGAGGAGGGAGAAAGGAAGAAACAAAAGCAAGAACAGAACAGAAAAGAACAACAAAACCAGAAACTGTGTTCAATCAAGAAAAAAACAAAACAAATCAAGAACAAGAACCAGAAAAGAGGGTAAAAGAAAATAAAGTCCAATTCAAGGCATGTCTCTGCTGTCGCTGGTAGACAATGTGGGCCACCAGAGTCCAGAGCCAAACTGATTAATCCCAGCAAGCCAGCCGAATCTTCACGGTGGATGGAGTAGTGGATAATCCCAGCCTGCCTACACCTTTAGTTCCACTGAAGTTCAGGCTGGTTTCTGGCTATGAGGCTGAAACCGGGTTTTTAAAAAAAAAATTAAGTTTATTGGTACATTTTAGGTATACAATACAGTTACATTCATCATTGGGATCTTGTACCTTTATGTGATGTATCTTGGTTCTTATTTTTTCCCCTTCCCCTGCCCTCCCTTCACCCCTTCCACCCTTTCCTATTTACAAAGACTTTGTTTCCATTTTTTCCTTTTCTCATGTTTTTTTCTTTTCCCTTCTTTCCTTCCCCCCCCCCCCCCTTCCCCTACTCCTTTAGACCTTTTCCTATTTCAATTATCAATTATACATTTTGATCCTTATTTACACTTCTGGTTTTTCACACCAGAGAAACTATTCAGTATTTACACATTTGTCCTGTTTATTTCACTTAAGAGTATGGCCTTAAGGGCCAGGGATTTAGCTCAGTGGTTTCGTCGCCTGCTGTGCAAGCGCAAGGACCCGAGTTCGATCTCCAGTACCAAAAAAAAAAAGAGTATGGCCTTAATGTGAATCCATTTAGCTATAAATGTCTCTAGTTTCTTGTTCTTTATGGCTGAGTAGTACTCCATTTTATAAAAAAATCCCACATCTTCTTTATCCAGTCTCCAGTTGATGGACAATTGGGCTGTTTAGGTATTACAAACTGTGCCGCTATGAACATGGGTGCACATATATCACTGGGGTATGATGCTTTTAATTCTTTTGGGAAGATACCCAGCAGAGGAATAGCTGGGTCAAATGGGACCGCTAATCCTAGTTCTTTGAGGTATCTCCATACTGACTTCCACAGTGGTTGCACTGGTCTATACTCCCACCAACAATGGAGAAGGGTTCCTTTCTCCCCACACCCCAGCCAGCACTTGTTGTTGGTTGATTTCTTGATAGCAGCCATTCTTTCTGGGGTGAGGTGGAATCTCAGTGTTGAGAAACCGGGCTTTTTGAGCCTGCAACAGTCCATGTGCCTCCTGCTGGCTTGAATGGCTCCCTGCAGACTTGAACTCCACTCCCTAACATCCTGCTGGCATGAACTGGGCCTTTGCACTAGAACCCCGGGAGCCACTGGATGGAGTCAGCCCGTAGCTGTTCTGAGTTCTGAGCTCAGTTGGGCCCTCTCCAAGATGGCTACCGGCCAATCACCCTCTCCTGGGTAATGTCTGAACCTGGATAACTCACCATGCAGTTCAGTGTGTCCACTGCTGTGTTCCACTGGTGTGCTTCTGCATGGAGGCCTAT